TTGTAAACACTGAAGTTAAAGGGTAGTGTTGTGTGTCATCCATCTTTTCTTTCCTAGGAGAATTTGACATTCTCAAATTCTAAAAATGTGTTCCTTTCCTCATTATAAGCAGTTTGTATTCATTGCATTGGGGACTTAATCAAATAAACTTACTTTAATTTTACATATTGATTTAATCCTATTTTTGATCATGGGATCAATTTTAGCTAAAATTCACCCCTTTTTAAGTCTGAGTGGAGACTACCTCTGTTCTCAAAGTGGGATGTCCCAATGTGACTGACAGATTGTGTCTGAAGCCCACCACTCGATGGTGGGGTTCCCTGCATCCCTCAGTTACCATTTGAATGGAAAGCCTTTAATCACATTATTGTGATGCCAGAACTCCAAAACTACGATTTTTCGCCCTTAATCCTAATTCAAAATGCTATATTATACACAATTAAGGCATTTCGAACCCTCCTAGTGAACAGAATTAGAAATGTTGCTGTATGGTTTGGCTAAATTTTGTACAGAAAGGAAGTCTATTGAGTTACCAATGTAAATGTTGCAGGATTTGATTTGTTTGCAAACTATGAACAAATAACACATGGAATACTTATGATATAGCTAAGTCTACGAGGGTGTTATTTTGACAGTGTTATTGTGGAGAAGACTAGACTGGCTCCAGATCTCCCTGTTGTATGTCCCTGGATTAGCTTGGCATCCAAAGAGACTTATTTGCCTTGGTGGCAGAAGGAACTACAGCATTGGGCACCTGCTATCACAGTGGCTGCTGGGTTGGCAGCCACAAAGTGGTCGTGTCTGTCACCTGTCCTCTTGTTGGTAGATTGCTGGCTGTTTTCCACTGTCAAATGCCATTTTTCTGTCATCACCTTTGGAAATTGTGGCTCTGGCCTTTTCCAGTTACAGATTCATTACGTTAAATTCAAAAAGAGCACTTACTCTCAAATATTGATACTTATTTAGCTCCCAGTATGTTGAGAAATCATGCATAAATATATTCTCGAATCTATAAACTGTCAAAACTGAGATCTAGTAAAAAATATATTGGGCTTTTAAACATCACATGGCATTGGTCAAATTACAGAAATATTTATTTCTGTGGCAGTAGAGTAACACGTTTACCTAAGATGAAAGAGAACAGGCGTTTGTTGTTGCTGGAACTGTGAGGAAAGTATGGTAGTGCATAAAGAGTATGAAGGTATTATTTTGAGAAGTAAGAAAGGCTTTCAGGGGAAGCAGTGAAAAAGCAAAGACGATAAGGGGAAATGGCAAAGAAGAAACCAAACGAGAAGGCCTCTAAACGTGCAATTCCTCATGCAGTCAAAGCCTCCATTCCTTTTTAGAGTTTTATCTGTACAGATGGGTCATCACTAGACTTGACAAGATAAGAGAGCACTGAAAAATGAAATTGGACAAGATTACAAATAATGTTACATAATAGGTTTCTGAAACGCCTCCCACAGCCAGCCAGGATCCTTTCGTACATTGTGATTTCCTTGGTCCTTCCGTTGGTTTCCGTTGGAGATCCTGCTGCACAGAGTGGGTGCTAAACACTGTGCTGGCCATCAATTCCAAATACCCTGCTGTGGTTCCAGAAAACAGCCTCTCCTGAAGTTGGCCTCAGAGGAAAAGTAGAGGGCAACCAGCAAACGTGCATTTGTTCTACAGATTAATAACTGAGTCCTGGAAATTTATATTAAGGCTTTCCTGGTAGAAAGCTAATGAGAGAGTAGAATAATTAAAAGACAGATTATAAATTGCTGCAATGAACAATAATGATATACTTGGAATTTTAAAAATAATTTCAAACTATTGCCCTATGACAAATTTTTAAAAAGAAGCTACACGATCAAAATCATACACACACACACACACACACACACAACCACACACACACACACACACACACACACACACACACACGACATTTCTTGTTAAGTCTAAAGATTTCCTTTAGTCTTACATGTTTCTTATTCCATCAGAATAAAGAAATCAGGGCTAGAGAGATGGCCAAGACATGGAGTGTTCACTGCTCCTAGTAAATTTGAGTTCCTTCTATGTGCCAGGCCTTTTGTACAATAGGGTTGCAGAGATAGAAGACATGTCCTTTTCACTGTGGAGCAGGAAGCTGACAGCATACCATCTCACTCACACAGGTGACTCACAACTTCAGGATCAATAGAAAATCATTGCACGCTTGTGTGTATAGAGAGCAGTGCTGGTAAGGCCTAAGAGAGGGCTAAGAAACTAAAAAGGGACAGAGATGGTGGATTTCTTTCTTTCTTTCTTTCGTTCTTTCTTTCATTCGTTCATTCATTCATTCATTCATTCATTCATTCTTTCTTTCATTTTTTTCCTTTTTTCCCTCTTTTTTGGAAGCTTAGGAAGACATTGGAGAAGAAGGAAGCTAGCTAGACTGAGTGTTGTTTTTGGCAGCACTGTCTATAGCAAAGGAGGTGAGGTGTGAGTGCTGGTCCTGGGAAACCATCTCCTCCATGGAGCTGAAGTTTTATAAGAAAGAGCAGCCCCTTGAATCATGTTGAAAATGAAGAAGGGCAGAGGAATAAGAGGGGTCATATGGGGTGGAAAAGGACTCCTCCTCACCTCTCAGCTACCAATACCGATTGTACAAAGGGAATGCAAGTGTCAAGGCAAAAGACTCTCAAAATAGGGCTCCAGCCCATTAACTGAGAACAAAGAAGTCTGTATCTACAAAAGAGGAGAAATAAAGGTCTGTGCACATTAGCTAATGATACACACCAGAAACCCCTTGTGAAGCTAAAGAAAACCATATAGAATACTGTGATGTGAGTTAAATATTTTTTCCTCAGCTTTTTGGATGTATGAAAACAAATAGAAAGCTTTGTTGGATTGAAAATACTTAGGTTCAGCAAAAGATGAGTTAAAAGGAAAGAGAAAATGAAGTAAAGTGAGTGTTAATTGAACTCCTGAAAAATATAAAAGATAAAAACCCAAAATAAATGAAAACTAAATTGCAAGGTGTTCAGGGGAAATGCACATGTTATGCAACAGCACATTTAATGTCTATAATAAATGTAAGTAGCCCTAACTCCATTAGGTGAAAACCAGACATTGGCAGGATGGGATTTAAAATACAAACAGTCCAGTTATATGATGTTTGTAAGACGGACAGAAAAGGATCATAAAAGATCCACCATGTAAACAATCACATTCAAACTGGACAGGCCACACAAGGGTAAGTGCAGAGCAGTAAATACTTCCAGTAACAAAGCAGTACACATTCATAAAAGGGTCAATTCTCAATGAACAAAGCATGATAAAGGTGTGTGCAGTGAGAATCAGTACTTTGAGTGCTTAAAGAAGTAGGGATGCTGAGTCGGTACCTTAGGTAAAAGGCACATGCCATCAAGCCTGGCATCGTGAGGTCAGCATCTGGGAACCATGTGCTGGAAAGAGAACTGATTTCTGCAAGATTTCTAACCTGCGCGCGTGCACTCACGTACATGTGCATACACACCAATTTGTTTTCCATTCCTGTGATGACCACTATGTCCCAAAGCACCTTCTGTGGGAAGGGTTTCTTACATTAGATGGGAATCTGAGTAGAAACTCCAGCCAGGAGAAGTGCTGCTTATTGACTTGTCCCAGGCTTCTGCTCACCTAGCTTTCTTACTGAGCCCAGCAACACCTGCCTAGGTGGGAATGGCACCTCTAGCAGTAGGCTGGGCCCTCCTGTGTCAATAAGCAATCAAGAAAATCCTCCACAGATATTGCCACAGTCCAGTTTGATTAAAGCAACCCCCTAATTGAGACTCCCTCAGATGACTGTGGGCTATGTCAGGTTGACAGCTGAAGCTAATGAGGATATATGACACACGAAGTAAATAAATCAATATAAATATCAATATAAATAATAAGATACAAGGAGAAAAAAAAAAGAAAGAAAACAAACAAACAAAACTAGAGAACTCAAAATATACTTTGATTAAGCCACAATTAACGATGCACTCTCAGTAATTGCTAGAATTGTTACTTTATTCAGAAACTCAATAAAGATTTAGAAGATCTCAATTATCTTATGAAGCAATATGATTTAGTTGATATTTACAGGACTTTCTATCCAGTACTAGTAGAATATATGCACATGGAACATATGTTAGAATAAACCATATTGATAGTAAATAATCCTCATTAAAACAAACTTTAAAATTTAAAAGAATTATGGGCTACTGAGATTGTTCATTGGGCAGTGGTACTTGGTGCTGAGCCTGATGGCTAGAATTCTGTCCCACAGCCTACAAGGTAGAGGGAACCAACTCCTACACATTGTCCTCTTACCTCCACATGTGCCCTGTACCATGTGTACACACATGCACCCCCCCCACACACAAATACATCTTCATTCTTTTCACTTGAAAGAATTGAAACCAGTACTCTGAACTCAGTGGAACATATCAGTAGCTGGTGGTTTTTCTCCTCCTGCCAGTCCCGCCACTCTTCAGCCCCAAATAAGCACAAGGGCACTATGTTAATTATAAAACTGTTGGATGGGGGGGGGGAATGGGGCTTCTTTTGGCTAGCTCTGTCTTAATTATTAACCCATTACTACTGATCTTGACTTACCAGAGAATCTCTGGACCTGTTTCTCATTTTGCAGATACATGGTGTCCTCTTTCTGGTGGGCTTCCTCTTTCCCAGCCTTCTTGTCATCTCCTAGCTCTGCCTATCTTCCTGCCTCTATTGTCCAAACAGGGTTTTATTCATCAACCAATAAGAGAAACATACATACAGAAGGATGTCACCTATCCAGAGGCTACTAATGACTGACAGTTGAAGTAGTTGGGGGAGTTTCTCTAACTGAAAATCTTGTTCTTCGACCCATTATTATGAAAAGTTATTGGCTTAGAATATGGGAAATGGATATCTCTCATCTGACAATGACCAAATGGATAATGAAGCATGCTAGTTGGTGGCAACTAATGGTAAATCGTTTCTCTGTCCATTTTATTTTACAGCCTCTCTGTTGAAAGGATTGAAGCATGCCAACATTGTGCTGCTTCACGACATCATCCACACCAAGGAAACACTGACACTTGTCTTTGAATATGTGGTAAGTGAAATAAGAGTTCAGGCTGGCTAAATATGAATAAAATCCGTGCAGGGCTAGGAGTTGATTTTTAAATTGCTTCACTGAATTGAGTGATTTTTCTGAGTACATGTGATAGTATTTTGCATAAAATAATGAGATATTTCTGGGTATGTCTGTTAGAATATCTAGAAAAATATTAAGTTGCATTTGTTAGGTATGTGGCTTATTTGTAGCCTGTTTGTTACAGGTGTGCTTACATTGTGGTTTTTAAGCATATCAAAAAGGATGGTCACTACCAAAGGAACCCAGAGACAGCAGCAAATATTTTCCTTGGGGCTTGTAATTTGGTTTCACAAAAGCATCCTTAGGAAGATTTTTAATTTTTTTTTCTTTTTGCGCAGTGTTGGGGGTTCAAAGTTTTCCTTCTCAGCTATTTCAGCTATTAACTAAAGCTTCCGATTTCACAGCATACCATGTAACAATCTTCTTGTGTTGAGAGTGTCACAGCTTGGAAGACCTGAACTTCAACTAGTAATTAATCTTTCTTCGTTTCCCTCACTAAAACATATGGTGTTTGTGTAGCACCGTCTCAGCATTTAACTGTGGAATCATGAAATGTAACCATGATAATTAGCATTCCAGTTTTCACAGATGGATCTGAGAACATGTAATTTATAAGATACAAATGACACCGGTGCCGACTTTTTATTGAGAAGAATAGCTACCAGGATTTTGACTGTATTGAGGTCTCGTTTTTATAATCACCAAACTAGTTTTTTATTGAAATAATTCCCATTTTTTCTTAAAAGTATAAAAGAATGAATATTTAAAGCATTTTTATCTTCCTAATGTGTGCCTGTGTCTGTTTATCATTTGAAAATTGCTGTCTCATGAAGAAGCCATTCATCTTGTCTATTTACATATAAATGATAGATACATTTGAATAATATGGTAATGTGGCTGCAAGGACAGCTAGAGCTATCAAGTTGCATATATTACATGCTACCAAGAATGGAAGCAGATTCACACTTCAATGCAAATATAATTTCTTTTGTTTCCTCTGTGATTTGGAGTCAATAGTACACTGAGCTGACTTAGGTTTGGAACTTTCCATTCATGTTTTCTAGTATGTTTGATTAATATATTTCAATGAAATATAGATTTTTCTCTCTATATTCACCACCTTCCACAATGCTTTATAGAAAGAGTGTTTAAAGATGTACTTATTCCCTCCCTCAAATTGGACAATTAACACCACAAGAAAAAACAATGTTTGGAACACCAAAATTAACACACCTCATGTTTATTTTCCTGTACAGTCCACTGGCATGTAGTGAAACACATACACATATATATATATTAATTAAATGAATGTATACTTGTATGCATATATGCACACATAAACATGTGGCTTTGCTCCTTACTATGTTCTGAAATAAATATTAAACATTATAATCTAAAGTTCCCAAGCTTTGTAATGATATTACCATATATTAAAGTTTATGATATCAAACTTATATTCTGAGCAGCATTAATTCTGTTGCTTCATGCTACTAATAGTACTTCTTGATGATCCTGGTGGTACTATCAGTATTCCCAAGTTCTCAGGAGACTGAGGCAGGAGAGTCATAAATACAAGGCCAGCCTGGATTAGGGAGCAAATTAAAGGCCAGCCTGGTCAATTTAGGGAGATCCTGTGTCCAAAGAGATTGGTATGCAGAAACAGAGCTTTGGGGCAGAGGAGTGTTTTCATTACTTTTCTGTTGCTGTGACAGAGTGCCATAACAAAACAAAGTATAGAAGTGTTTATTCTGACTTATGATTCCGGAAGGGGTGAGTCTATCCTGGGGTGAAGCAAGACAGTTTGATGAATGTTGAGACATTAGTATATCTTTGCTTTAATGTTAGAATTCCATTCTTACTTGGGGTGACATGTCGGCAAGCATCAAGCATAGAAGCAGGGAAATGAAAGACAAAGGTGAAGGCAAATCAGAGTTGGGGAGAGACTGTGAACTCCCAAAGCCTGTCATCAGTGATATGTGTCCCTCCACCCAGGCTGCAATCCTCAACAACCTCCCCAGAAGTGCCACCAGTTGGGTTCCAAATGTTCAGCTATGTGAGCCTATGGGGCTTGTTTGTCAACCAAATCAACACATGCCCATGCCTAGTTTATAAAAGACCTTAGAATCAATCTCCAGTACCACCAAAACAGACAAACAAACAAGCAAAAACCCAAAGAAAATAAGGACCTAAGTTAAGCAATGTGGGAGAAATCAGTATGCCACACTCTTAAAATCCTTGATTTAAAGGTAAAGCAAGACAGTTTGATAGTTTTTTGGACACTGTTATACCTTTGCTTTCATATTAGAACTGTTTCCAGTGGCTTTTTGAGGTACACCTATCAGCCGCACTATATACTGTTATTTATGACAATGCCCATGCAATGTAATGCATCTCTACCCCTTTCTTTGACAGAGAACTCTAATCCTAGCTCTTTTATATTATTCCCACAAATGACGTTTTAGGTCTTTGAAAGCCTTCTGAAGGCCAGAATAATGACATAAGTGACAAAAATGTTAGTGATACAGAAAAATACTCAAGGAAATGACTTTGGAGGCAATTAGCATAGTGGTTCAGTGGCTAGTGATGTATAAAAAGAAGCAAAAGACAGCCAGCTATGTTGTCACATCCCTTTAATCCCAGCACTCAGAAAGCAGAGGCAGGCAGAGCTCTCTATCAGTTCAAAGTTACATGGTCTACACAGAGAGTTCCAGGACAGCTAAGGCCACTTAGTCAGAACCTATCAAAAATAAATAAATAAATAAATAAATAAATAAATAAATAAATAAATAAATAAATAGGACTTTAAGAACAAGAATGATCAGGCGATTCTGGCCAGCCTGATCCAGAGTGAGAATTATGGCAGAGAGGTGTGCTCTGAGCCCTGCATCCATCAAGAAAGAGTGTTAAAAACAGGTTTCATTTCTCAATTGCTTGTGTGGCTTCGCTGGGGAAATAGGTATCACCTCCTTGCTAATGATGTCAAACTAACCTCTGCAGCCTCACTGCTTCATTGGGTTTTTCCATCCAATGATGCATTAGAATTTTTTTGGTATAGTTTGCCAAAATGAAGTTATATGTCATATTTTGACTGTACAGGACCCCACAGAGTGTGTGTCCAGTTTTTTGTAATGGCAAACATGTCCAGTTTCTCATCAGGGTTCACATTACATACTGGTCTTAGTGGTGCATGCTTTTAATTTTAGCACTCAGGTGACATAGGCAGAGATGTCCACAAGTTCCAGCCAGTCAGCACTATATATTGAAATCCTATGTAAAATAAATGAATAAATTCACAAAGCATAGCAACAGGTTTCCAATCCCACTGTATTCATTCCAACACAGAGCATGCTTTCGTGACCCCCTGAGCCCTCTCATAAGCAGTCAGTTGATTAACTTTATTACTCAGTTACAGGTAAAGATGTGTGTTGAACTTCAGATGACATACTCACGTATTCTCCCTTTGTGAAATTGTTTACATTTCAGATAGTTGAGAGTGAATCTAGTTACCAAAAGATGGTTTAAAATAAATCTCTACATCTATGGATGCACCAGATAATACAGAATATTGGCAGAATTCCAAACTATAGTTCAACATTAAGTTTTGATAATCTTCATTCTCATTAATTATTGTTTGTTTGTCCCAGGATTTGATTTGTGTGTTCCAAGGACTGTAATGAGATCTGAGCAAACAATGGCCATGAAGTCTGCTTGTCAGATCACCATGTTTTTCTGTGTATCTGCTTCAAGAGCTTTTCCCAAACCTATTGATTAGGGCATTGACATGATCAAGGAGAAAAGTCAATTGCAGAGTGCTAGAAGGCACTGTCCTTGACCTCATTCTCCTGGTGTCTAGTGATTTTGATAAAGAAGTGGTAATGTTGTGTTTGGCCAAGCTGTGTTTGTTGTAGGTAGGACCCATAATTAGCAATTAGAGTGATGTATGTAATCAAGTGTCAGAAAATAGTCTGATGAAATCATGAGTTCAGTCTTTAAGGTAAATTCTGTGTTACACAGTGTGCTTGGCTCTTTCCTAAAGGACAGTTTGACTAAATATAGAAAAAGACAGTGCAAGCCATTTACTTATGAGTGATTCATGGAAAACAAGACTGGTTCTTTCTTTGCTCTAGTGTGAGCTGGCATTGAGATGTGACAGAGGAGAACAGCCAGTGTATGGTGTGTGTGCCTTGACAGGAACTGGAGTAAAGTAGTATTGATGCAGGTCAGCCAATAAGATGACAAGGTGGCAACAGAAAGAGTGATGAGAAACCAGGCACACAGAGAGGAGAGGGGTCACAGTGCCTGTGCTCTAGAGGGGCTGCAGGAGCCACGTGTGAGACTTCCAGGAGACCTGTTGTAGCTCAAATTTGGAAAGACTATTCCATTGCTCTGTGTTACTAGTAAACTAAATTTGGCATCTTAGAGAATAAGGAACACTTTATCACTAAATGTGTTCATTCAGCAGGATGGGAGGAATCAAATCTGAATTGTAGTATATGGGGAGGGGGATGTGTGTTCTAACCTGTGCTGTATGCATAGCACTAAAATGTTATTGTAGTACCTTAGTACAGGGAAGTCATGGTCCCTACTGGAACCTTGGAGTACTCATAAGATAGCTCTGTTTTGCTGATAAAGAAAACCAGGTTCATTCAAGTACTCCCTGCTCTTACTGTGTCCTGTCATCTTCTGAGTCTGTGTAATGATGAAGAGGTCCCGTTTCCTATCAAGATTCACAAAACAGGCTGGTTGTAGTATTAATCTAGGCATCACCAAGTTAGATAGCAAGGACCAAGTTTCACTATTACATAAACTTGGCACCATTTATTGTGAAAATATTTTTGTGGTCATTCACTTGATCACTAATTGATTCATTTGCCCCAATCCTAATTCAGAATAGTAAGTTACACAGTCTAAAATGGAAGTGAATCTGACCTTTAACTTGCAGTAAGTAAATGCCTGAT